ACAGACAGAGCAAAAACAGCGCAGATCGGGTAGAAAGCGAAAAGCGACGCAACAATTTATGATGGACCCGAAAAGGAAAAAATATTGAAAAAAAAAATTTTTTTCTCTTCTTCTCAATGTTAAAACAATTTTAGTGGGGGTGGGGCGGTGTTGGGGCCACCCACCTTCTCATCAGAATGGACTGATCTCTCTACTACTAATAGAACAGTTCTAGAGAGTTCTGGGAGATCAGGTGACCATCACACTTCCGTCTCTCTACCGGAAGATACAGTTGGACTTTATACTTTTTCTGATTGTTACTACTAACCTGCGTTCGTTTGACTACTAATCTCTCTGTTGTAAATACCTCTTCAGATATACCAGTATTTTTCCCTACGTATGTGTTTGTCCTTATTTCAATACACGCACGCGGAAACACTCAACATCTCAACAGTTACCAAAGAAATTCTTCTGTCTCGCAATAAATAATCTGCCCAGATTTTGGAATGCGTCCTTGGCCATCCCAATAGAGATCTACAGATCTCAGTGTCGCACTTACCGTTCTCTGTCAAAACGCTTAGATATTTAAACTTCCGCGTCTGCTTATGTTGTCAAATACTCCCTTCAGACTTGGCGACAGATGTAGTCGATCTTCTTGACGAGATGCCAGAAGACAAACTTTACGACGCGTTGAAAAAATGCAATCATTAGGCGTGTCGGTAAATCGGATGAGAGAAAGTTACACGATTGATTCAATCATTTGAATCTGGGGCAAGTAAAACCTTCATAGCTTCTGAGGAAAATACGATTGTTATTAGGTGACAATACCATGTCCGAAGTAGTGTTAAAGAACTTATGAACGGACAAACTAAAGACGCACACAACACAGATATCAGAAATGGCGGACAAAATACATGACAACAACAAGGACAAAAGCGTATACGACACATCGCATATACCAATAACTACAGCAGTACCAACCGACAGGGTAGGTAGGTCAAAATATAGTCAACCTCACCATTCAATTACATAGTTTGGTAGGAAGGCAAAAATCCCAGCATTCTCGTCCAAAGATCCAAGGTCGATCCTACTCACCGCGCAGAAGTCAGGGCAGGTCGAACTCATCCTCCAGATAATGTATTTCAAATTCAAGGATCTCCCACACTTCTACACAACACCAGGGAAACGATTACTACGGCAGCAATCCAGAGACGTATATGCAATGTGATTAGTCCTGATCTGGCATCTCGTTTACATTCGTTCTCTCACAGACGTGCCTACGCTTTACTCTGTTTCTTCTACAAATACTTTCACGGTAACTGCTACGACGAGCTACTTTCACTGGTTCCCAGACTGCATGAATTTAAACGTGCTTCTATGTTGGCATCTCAGTCCCACCCTTTCACTGTCGAAGCGGTTAAATGTAGCCGTCTCTTCTACTCCAATAGCTTCATGTCTCGCACTTCCCGTCTGTGGATTTACCTTCCTCTTACTTGCTTCCCTGATAGCTATAATCTCCAACTATTCAGATGTAATGTCAATCAGCGTTTCCAGATGCCTTGATCTATTCCCTGTCCTTCACTTCATCCTTTCCTCTATCACCCCTCTCGCTCTCAATCCTCTGTAACACGTTGTGTGCTAGTGGCATTCCCGCCTTGCTTGGGGTGAATTGCTTTAAAAAAAATACGATAATGATTCCAATAGTAGAACTCCCTTCCTTCAACTTGCTTCGCTGGTAGCTATAATCTTCAAATGTACTGTCCATCGACATCTTCTGATGCGTTGATCCTTATCCTTCTCTATATCCTTTCCTCAAACAACCCTCTTTACTCTTTATTCTTGACTAGCAGTAGAGCCCGGCGTTGCCCGGGGATATAACAGTAAGAGTTAGATCAAGTATCCACCATCATAAAGACTGAAAAATAAAATTGACAAAGATTATTGTTTAAGGTTGACGGACACGCATGTCTTAATTAGTGTTTTTTTTTTTTTTTTACGAATTGGTCAAACCCAAACTCAAAAAAAAAAACATTGTTTTCAATCGTTATGAGTCTATCGATTGATGAATAGAATTTTATTATAAACAATTGTCTTGTAAATGGAATTTTTAAAGCATTCTGAATGTAAAAATAAAGAAAAAAAGTGTGCAAGACAATAAGAAACACTACCTGCCAAAAAAAAAAGTAAAGTTTTGTTGAAATCGGTTGAAAAATGTAGGTAGCCTTTCTCTATAATCTTTTACAATTTATGATTTTTAGTTATTGAATACAGTAAAAAATTGCATATTTTGCTTGTGGTAATTCATAATTAGAATTCTGATTTGGATATATTTTCCACTCGTTTCTAATACAAAAATATTAACTTTATTTGGGTTTATTAATTTATTACAAGTACTGTGTTCTTTCCTTAATAATTATCATCTTCGAAATATTGTTATTTTTTGTCTATCAGATTTCTTACGTCGGCATTTTAAAATTATTTCATAATACTTTCTTTTAAATATTGAATTTTAAAATAGAACCAATGCCTTATTGATCTGCCTTGTAACAAATTGCAAAGGGAATTGTAAAAACGGCCCTGAAGTACGTGGAATTATCTTTCCCTAAAGATAAAGAATTATCCGATTTTTCGATTCGTACAATCAGTAGAGATCGTTAGATTATTGTTTAGGTTGACGGACACGCATGTCTTAGTTTTTGTTTTTTTTTTACGAATTGGTCAAACCCAAACTCAAACAAAAACATTGTTTTCAATCGTTATGATGAGTCCCACGATTGAATAAAATTAGAATTTTATTATAAACAGTTGTCTTGTAAATGGAATTTTTAAAGCATTCTGAATGTATAAATAAAAAAAGTGTGCAAGACAATAAGAAACACTACCTGCCAAAAAAGAAAGTGGATGTTTGTTTTATCGGCTGAAAAATGTAAGAAATCCGTTCCCATATATAAAGGAACACACACACACACACACACACAAACAACCTGGGTTTTTTTTAACCCGATCTGATTTGTCCCCCTTTCATTCTCACGATGTTTCTTAATCGTGTTTCAAATTGATTTTCTTAAAAAACAATTGTGTTTTTCCCATTTTCGGCGCCGTTAGAAACACCACAAGGTAATTTTATGTAGTCCTGTGAAGTTTTGTTGAAATCGGCTAAAAAATGTAGGAAATCCGATCCAATACATAAACGTTACAGACACAAACAATCTGCGTTTTATAATAAGTAAGATCTCACTCTCTGTAATCCCTTGCGTGCTAGTGGCAATCCCGCCTTGCTTGGGGTGAAATACTTTAAAAAAAAATGAAAGACGAATTTAGCTACTGAAATGGGACAAGAATGTCGTCAAATCAGACGGCGCGTAATATCAATAAAACAATCTATCCCAGACATATCACCGTGGTCAAAACTATGGCTTTCCCGCCGCTTCCCCAGTTGAAAAGAGTAGCTTTCATGTTGCGAACAACTTTAACATTGTCTTCCGTTTGACCACAATCGACGCTCAAAGACATTACATGTCAAATTTACGTCCGAAAACAATTGTCACATTTCTTCCGTTACCGAAGTTTTTTAACCAGTTTTGCAATGACTGGTTGCAAAATAATGATAGATGTATCCCAGTAACTGCATATAAAAGCAGGAGAAATTTAAAACAGTCAAATCAAGAACAGCCGTTCATCCTTCGTGAGTAGAACGTTTGGCTCTGATATATTTGAAAAAAAAAATGAAGACGTCTATATTACAGCTTACGGTTTTAGGAGTTATAGTTGCATTTACTATACCAACAAGAGCTGCTGTGTATAAAAGAATCTCACAAAATTGTGATTCGGGTTCAAAAGATTGTGAATCGCCGAGATCTCCCATTTGTAACTTGAAACCAGCAGACGATGAATGTTCATACTTTAAATTTGTATCTGCGCAAGGCTGGATCAAGCAAGACTGTGTTGAAGGAACTGCTTTCAACATCAAAGATTGTGACTGTACAATCTTATTACCTGTAAAATCAATTGGTGATAAAATCAATGAAAAAACAGATAAAGATCCCACTCAGCTAGCTCCTGTTCCTTGTACCCGAAAAGCAGCCGAAGACAGAAAATTTTACTTACAATTCATTGAGGGAAAGGGTTGGGAAAAACAGCCATGCGCAACAGGAACTGCCTACAATGTTTCAGACTGCGCATGCACTACCCATATCCCTTATGAAAACATTGGAACCGGTGAAGGAGAATTGGATCGACCAAGGCCTGAACCCTGCCAGAGAAAACCAGCAGAAGAGGACAACGCCTACTTAGAGTTTATCGAAGGTAAAGGCTGGATCGAGCGGCCATGTCCGAAAGGGACGTGTTTTAATGCTGACGACTGCGCATGCTCGATCTCGTTACCACAAGAAGCCATTCCAGACACCGTCGACGAAGAAGATGATAGCAGAAAAAACATTGAGCAACAAACGAACGTATCTTGTTCTCGCAAGCCGTGTGAAGACGCAAAAGCTTATTTGCAGTTTATCGAGGGTAAGGGTTGGGAAAAGCAACCCTGTCCAAAAGGAACTGCATACAGCGCTGAAAATTGCGCATGTTCAATGATTATTTACGAAGACTTCACGAGTAACGGAAAAGAAGTTGATGTTGAAAAAGTACAAAATGTACCCTGTACCCGAAAACCGCATGAAGATAAAACATCCTACTTACAATTCATTGAAGGTAAAGATTGGCAAAAGCAACCCTGTCCCAAAGGAACAGCTTACAATTCTGTCGATTGCGCATGCTCTGTTTCAGTTACTCCGGAAGATGTCAGTATAAGCCGCGATAAAAAAGAAAGCCATGGAAAACTAGAACCTGCATCCTGTGCACGAAAATCTAGTAATAATCCAAAAGTTTATTTGCAGTTTATCGAGGGACAAGGTTGGGTGAAGCAGTTTTGTCCTAAATGGACTGCTTTCAGCGATAAAGACTGCGCATGCTCAATATACCTATTTCCGGAGAGCGACGAAAAGAAGGATGAAAATATCGACGTACTAGAATCAGAGCCTTGTCCTTTGGAGGCAGACGATGATCACAGGTTCTTTTGGCAAACGGTCGAAGGCCAGGGACGAGTGAAGTTCGCCTGTGCTAAAGGAACTGCTTTCAACCAGGAGACATGCGACTGTTCCACATTCGTACTCGGAAAGACTGATAGCGATGGTGATATGGAAGAAAAGTGTGTAAAGAAAGAAAAGATATCGCCCACTGAAACAAAACTTTGCATCTTAAAAGCAACGTATAGCAGAAAATCCTACCTAGAATATATGAGGGGTCAAGGCTGGGTATATAAATTCTGTATGGACGAGGCTGTCTTTAATCTGGATTTATGTGCCTGCCATTAAATACATGACAGCAGTGTGAGCGTCTTACGCTGTAAACAGGTCATGTTGATGGACACAATCCTCAGGGCATCAACGCTTAAAGATAAAACAACCGGAGGTAAAGTTTACTAATCCCGAACAAGTGATGTTTCTTTATTTTCGCCAGACGATGTGTGAGGGTGCTAATGCTATTTTTTTTCAAACGATGTATATTCATGCTTAATATATGCTTCAATCAACGAAATGTACTTTGTTCATATTTAGTTTTACAAACATTCTACACTTTTTATATATATATATATATATGTATTATTCTGTAATAAAACCAATTTTTGTATGAAAATATATTCGTTATATTGTTTATATAGTTGCAGAAATGTATGTGAGTGAAGGCAACTCAATAAGTCCATAGCCTGAAACGTAGTAGTGAGCTGAAATTTGGTCTAAAATCATTCGTGTATAATGTCCGAGGTATGCGATTAATATATACCTGTTAATTAAATGTACAGCGTGGTCATTGAAGGACTGAATAATATAAAACAAAAATAACTTTTACAAATACTTGAGTATCTTTGGGTAGTAAAGTTTGGACCATTTGAATCTTGTATGGAAACATTTTTAAATTCAGTTTCGGAATATTCTGAAACGATCTTCTAGCGATGCCTATTTGAGCAGAGCGACGACGGGTAGAAGCTGATGGATCCTCAAGCACACTCTGCCGTACATCTTGCACAGCTGCATTAGTGCACACAGTGCGCTTAGGACCTCTTCTCGGAAGATCGCCGACTGATCCACTTCTTTCAAATTGGGCGATTATGTTCTGAATCATGTTATCGCTAGGAGACACTCTGACATTAAAATGTTTCCCACATTTTGTGCTTGAATAATTGTTCATTGGAATAATAATAAAAAACAAACTCAATGAGTTTTACTCGTTGCTGACCATCATACGTAGCCATTTTAATGTCCAAGTGATGATCTATAACCTGCTAAAAAAAGAAAAGAAAAAAGATTGAAAACGAAAAAGTTATGACTTTTTCAAGCGCTTCAGTTTTTCAGTGGCCATCCTATGTATACAACGAAAGAGTTTATGTTGAAACATTAACAGTGTGTAGAGTTTTTACTTCTTTATCCTTAGGCTAAGGATTCATTGAGAGACCTGCATACATGTATTTTTCTATATACGTACGTACATACACACACGCGCGCACACACTCACGCGCACACACTCACGCGCACGCATGCATACACATCGCTCTCTCTCTCTCTCTCTCTCTCTCTCTCTCTCTCTATCTATCTATCTATCTATCTATCTCTATATATATATATGAGGGTGAGATTATGGTTGTTCCAACGAGATAAAAATACATTTTAAAGTGAAAAAAAGCCGCCAACGGTTTTTGTTTACAATGTGGATTTTTTTAATAAAATATACTTCATTTTCCAAGCAGAACTTGGATTACTACCAAACAAATGACAATGGTTAAACATAAGAAAACATAGGTAAAAGATTAATTCCTATAAATAATATATGGAAAACAAAATTCTTCGTCTGATGAAGTTCACAAGACCCGAAATGTGTGTAGCAAAAAAATGTGGAAAATAAAGTATAATATATATTTTTAAAATCCGCATTGTAACCAAAAACGTTTGTATCTTCTCTTTTCTCGTTAATATATATATATATATATATATATATATATGTTATGCTCGGTACTTAGTAGAACGTGCTCAATATCTATGATAGAGCTAGCATATTCATTTGAATTGATATTCGTTAGGATTTGTTTGATGATCGCAAGAGATCGAGAGAGATGGAGAAAGACAGTGAGAGACAATTAGACACACACACAGACAGAGAGAGGGAGAGAGAGGCAGAGAGAGAGAAGCAGAGAGGGAGAAGCAGAGAGGGAGAGGCATAGAGAGAAAACCGCCAAAAATCTGCTGGCATATCAAAAAAGAAAAGGAATCATTTTACTCGTCGAAAACGTAAAAAAAAGTTAAAAATTAAAAATGTAATAATTCAAAGTGCTCAATGCCCAAATCTAGATGAAATTAAAAGCAAAAAAAAACCCCAAAACCAAACCAAAACAAAAAACAAAAAAAAAAAAAACTTCCAAGCAAACAATAGTAAAAAATACCAACTTTTCCCCAAGTAAACTTCCGCCTGTCGGCTGTTCAGATTCCGAACGCTAGCATTAATCTTAGCACTGAAAGTATGAAAAGCCGGAAGTTGAAAATTAACTTGCGAATGAGTTGTAGGTTTTCATTTTTAATTCGATCCCCACCTCTCTCTCTCTCTCTCTCTCTCTCTCTCTCTCAATATATATATATATTGAGACATGTTTCAGTGAATAATTTAGAAAAGTTTGTCTACTTGTTTTCAATTAGATCCTTTCATAATCACGGACAAGATTTTTGTGTCATTATAAAAGAAGAGAGAAAATTACCGTCTTGATAGATATTATTTTATTCCGAGTAATTTCGACATTAGTAAAATGTCATCATCAATGTTGTACTCTGATGAAGATATTGTGCTATTCAACGGAATATTCACACAAATCTAAGAAATATACATAGCCGTGGAAAAAAGTAAGTCGGATCATTTATCAGTATGTCCATTTCCTTTTGGAAACACCGTCATCACATTTCACTTATTTGCACTCACACACACAACGTTTCTACTAATGTGCTTCACCCATACACACACGCACACATTCAGTCAGCAGCCACGCATACACTCTGATAAAATGTGCTTCAAACACACGCACATATACACAAACTTTATATTGACCAAGGCATATGACTTTATGAACTACCTTTATCAACTGGAAAATTTTGTCGAACATTTGAACTTTGATTAAAACCAGAACAAAATAATGTTTACTATGTAAAAATACATGTTAATGTGTACATAAATATATGATTTTTTTTCAATCTGGTTTTCCTTTTTGCTTTTATAAAATAAATGTGCACATAGATACACACTTTTATATATACATATTGTATATGCCTTTTCTTTCTTTTTATATGCCATGTCCTTTTAGGACGTAGGTGATCATGGCTCTCCAACTCCCTCTATCTCTTGCAGCTCTCAACAAGTTCCTTCCCTCTTTTCCAGACCACGTTCTGTTATCCACTTGCTCAAGCCCGCTTGGTATTTCATGCGTTGTTTTCCGTTGTATATTTTTCCCTTTATTCGACCCGTGAGTATCAGGTTCTCCGGGCCCTCCTTCCTCATTATGTATCCCAGAAACTTCAGCTGTCTCTTCCTGATGTTAAGTATAAGCTTCCTCCTGGTTTGCATCCTCTCCAAAACCTCATCGTTACTTATTTAAAATCCCTATGAATAAATAAGTTAACAAATGTTTCAATCTCCACCAAAATAAACTCTAGTGCAATTCAAGACTAAACTTTTCTTTCCAATAGATAAAATAATATATATATATATATATATATTCGGACTATTAAACATCGTTCGGTCCATCATATCCTTAGCATCCTTCTATAGAACCACATCTCCGTCGGCTCGAGTCTCTTCTTCACCTGCGGAAATTCACTGCCATAAAGAAGGACAGATGTGACGTAACAGCTCAGTATTCTTTTCTTTGTTACCAAAGAAATTCTTCTCTCTCGCAATAAATAATCTGCCCAGATTTTGGAATGCGTCCTTGGCCATCCCAAATACGTCTACGGATCTCATTGTCGCACTTACCATCCTCTGTCAAAACGCTTACATATTTAAATTTCCGCGTCTGCTTATGTTGTCAAATACTCCCCGCAGACATGGCGACAGAGGTAGTCGATCTTCTTGGCGAGATGCCAGAAGACAAACTTTACGACGCGTTGAAAAAATGCAATCTTTAGACGTGTCGGAAAATCAGATGAGAGAAAGTTACACGATTGATTCAATCATTTGAATCTGGCGCACGTAAAACTTTCACAGCTTCTGAGGAAAATGCGATTGCTATTAGGTGACAATACCATGTCCGAAGTAGTGTTAAAGAAGTTATAAATGGACAAACTACAGACGCACAGAACACAGATACTCGCATCTCTCCCTGGTAATTTAGAGAGAATATCAGAAATGGCGGACAAAATACATGACAACAACAAGGACAAAAGCGTATACGACACATCGCATATACCAATAACTACAGCAGTACCAACCGACAGGGTAAGTAGGTCAAAATATAGACAACCTCACCATTCAATTACATAGTTTGGTAGGAAGGCAAAAATCCCAGCGTTCTCGTCCAAAGATCCAAGATCGATCCTACTCAACGCGCAGAAGTCAGGGCAGGTCGAACTCATCCTCCAGATAATGTATTTCCAATTCAAGGATCTCCCACACTTCTACACAGCACCAGGGAAACGATTACTACGGCAGCAATCCAGAGACTTATATGCAATGTGATTAGTCCTGATCTGGCATCTCATTTACATTCGTTCTCTCACAGACGTGCCTACGCTTTACTCTGTTTCTTCTACAAATACTTTCACGGTAACTGCTACGACGAGCTACTTTCACTGGTTCCCAGACTGCATGAATTTAAACGTGCTTCTAGGTTGGCATCTCAGTCCCACCCTTTCACTGTCGAAGCGGTTAAATGTAGCCGTCTCTTCTACTCCAATAGCTTCATGTCTCGCAGTTCCCGTCTGTGGATTTACCTTCCTCTTACTTGCTTCCATGATAGCTATAAGCTCCAAATATTCAGATGTAATGTCAATCAGCGTCTCCAGATGCCTTGATCTATTCTCTGTCTTTCACTTCATCCTTTCCTCTATCACCCCTCTTTACTCTTGCTCCAACTCTCTGTAATCCCTTGCGTGCTAGTGGCACTCCCGCCTTGCTTGGGGTGAAATACTTAAAAAAAATAAAAATAAAGACGAATTTAACTACTGGAATGGGACAAGAATGTTGTCTATTTTACATCCGGGGCAGAAATACTGGATATTTATTTTTAATCGACACCGGTGCACAAATCAGTGTTATTCCACCGGATGCTAACCAAAAACATACACTATCTACATACACACACTACTGGCCTCAAATGGATAAAAAATAGAGACATGCTCAATTTGGGACTACGACCATCTTTTTCCTGGATTTTCACACAAGTGCAAGCGAAAACATCAGTTCTAGGAGCGGATACGTTCTCTGATTTCGACCTATCAGTGAATATGGCGACACGAACTCGCATCGACAGTAACACAAAGTTAGAGGCGAAGGGAATAATCTCACTCTCCACGTCAGCAGGAATTAGTTCTGCAATACTAACTGCTAATGGACCGCAGAAATTGATAAAAAAATTTTCTACTCTTACTCCGCCTTTAAAACATACAGACGAATTTCGTCACACTACTAAACATTATATCACAACAACTGGACCACCTACAGACTTATTGCATCCAGAAAAATATAAAATAGCAAAAGACGAATTTCAACATATGTCATCATACGTCCTTCAAGTAACCCATTCTTCTCTCCACTACACATGGTTCCAAAGCCAGACACAGGCGCATAGCGACCTTGTGGGGATTTCAGGGATCTTAACACAAAAACAGTTCCAGATAATTACCCAATCTCACACTTACACGATTTCGCCATATGTTTAAAGGGAACGACAGTTTTCAGAAAACGGGATTTGCTTAAAGCATACTACCAAATTCCAGTAGCAGAAGACATAATGAAAAACAGCAATTACCACTTCTTTCGGATTTTATGAGTTCACGATGATGCCATTTGAATTACGTAATGCTGTCCAAACTTTTCAGAGACTTATCGACGAAGCTTTGAGAGGATTGACTTTTGCTTTTGCCTATATTGATGACGTTCTTATCACTAATTCAGATATCAAAGAACACCAACATCACATAAAACAAGTTTTCGAGAGACTGACACGTTTCGGGTTGAAAATCAATGTAAACAAATGTGATTTTGCTGTTTCGAAATCGAATTTCTTGGGCCATGTGATCAACAAACACGGAATCACACCCGTCCCAGAGAAAATAGCAGCAATACAACATTTCCCGCAATCAACAACACTGTGACTACTACGAAGAATTTTCGGTTTAATAAACTACTAGCGTAGATTTATTCCAGATTGTTCCACAATTTTGACCCCACTTGCAAAAACAAAAGAGTAAGAATGCAAAAATACTTATCGACGGAGAAGCATTAACTGCATTTAATGACGCTAAAAAAGTGTTAGCCGATTTTACTAAACCCTCCCATGTCATTGAAGATGCTAACTCAAGACTTACATTAACTGCCGACGCCTCAGGAGATTCAATTATAGCAGTTCTACATCAGAAGCAAAATGGGTCAGAAAAGCCTATGTATTTTTTTTTCTCAATAAAATTAAGCAACGCACAACAAAAATAAAGGTGCCTTCTCAAGGGTATGACTCGCAATTTACTTATCCATAAGGCATTTCCGTCATCTGCTCAAAGGACGAAGTTTTACTGTTTTCACTGATCACTCACTCACGCCTTATACGTGGATACAGAAAAAATATACACCCAGAGATAACCGAGAACTGGATTATATATCCCAATTTACTTCGGATATCTGTTATAGATCAGACCATATCGTGGCAGATACACCCTCGCGTTCCGCAATACAAACTAATGATTACCTTTCGACCTAATTGCTAATGAACAACAGAAAGTTGCTACATTAGACAAAGTGAAAGAGGAGACTTCTTTACAACTGAAAGAACACCTTACCCATTTGAAACAAAAACACTACTCTGCGATATGGGAACTGGTTATTCAAGACCATACATAGAATCTTCATTGAGAAAAAAAGATACGCAAACATTTTTACAAACTCTTACATCCTGGGCGCCGAGCTACCGTCAAGTTGATTAGGAATCGTTTTGTCTGACCCAGCATTTTAGTCCGGGTAAACTGAATCTACAAGAGAGAGAGAGAGAGAGAGAGAGAGAGAGAGAGAGAGAGAGAGAGAGACGCGTTTCTTTATCGACGCGTTTCGTCCTCTGATGGACTTTATCAAGGCAAATTTAAAGATTTTATTTTACAAGTACTTATAAACAGAAGTGAAAATATCGTTAGGTTTTCAATATTTCCTAATTTAAGAACGCTCATAAATATTCTTCAGTTTAATTGTGAAAGTCAAGGTAAACTATGGAGGATGCTAAGTGATGCAATGTAACGAGATTGACGATCTAAAAAATGTTACTTTGATCAAAGGAGAAAATAGTTCACTACAACGTAAATGTCTAGTCAGTCAGTTATATATCATGCGTGACACATACTTTGGCGACCATGTTGTTGCAGTTTTTTGTGTATATATGTACTAGTGAGTTAGCCCAAATGACTTGACTCACTTTATAGTCCACCAATAGAAGGTTAACCAATCAGAAGACGTAGAACATTCAATCCGTCGTGTATAAAGGCGGCCATTTTGTCTACTCTACCTGAATGTCCAGTCCAACTTGTCAGGCGAAGAGAAACAGAAGGACGAACTATGCTCTGCTACTTTTACCGGGATACTCACTGCTAACCTGAACAATGCTTTCCTACTGTCTTCGAAATATTCACTGCTAACCTCTGGATTCTATACTCAAAGACGACCGTCATCATGAACAACACGTGTATCTTTCGATACATGACTGACGAGGCAGATTTTTCCCGCATTAGGTTGTCAATTCTTCCTGCGGTTGATCAGTTGCCATCCAAGGCTATAGAATCCTGTCTATCGTGATATTTACCCAGAGCTTAGAAGAAGAGGATTCATACCTTTTCCTAAGGGTATTAGCATATAAGTGAATGTAATGGATTCGACAGTAATTCGAACTCGGCTCTCCGATTCCTCAATCCGAGCCGCTATCCATTACCCCACCGTAAGGTCATCTACAGCAAATTTGCGCCTTGCCTCTGACAATATTTCATCATTCTTGGCTGATTTTTTAATATCACAGTGTGGAATATTTACTTACAAAAATGAGGGAAAGGAAAAGAAAAAGACACTAAATGAATTCGGCTAGATGAAAAAAAAATTTAAATTCCCAGCATCACTCTGACGTGCGCATGTGTTGTCCTACCAACATAGATTCCGTCCGATGAAGTCCTGAAGGACGAAACGTGTTACAAATAAACTTTCCCACTTTGTTATACAATTTCCACAATATATATATATATATATATATATATATATATATATATATATAAAATAAATTAAGTGATTTAAAATATGTTTTTTTTCGCTACACAGTTCTAACCATGTTTCAAAAATGAAAGCTAAAAGACCCGAATTTAATTTTGTAATTAAATTAAAGACATTAGTTCCATTTCATCCTCAAGCGAATTTTGGAGTAACTTTTAAAATTACTGGGTTTTAAAGACACAGCTAAAATCATAATTCACGTTTGCAAGGTTATAGATAAATCCACTTCCACTAGACAAGGGGTGTCTGCGTGTTCATTATGTCTGTATTTACATTGAGCACAATTTTGTAAAAATAAAAATACCTATAAGAACACCGGATTATATATCTTACTGTTCTTTCTTTTTTTATATATATATATATATATATATATATATATATATATATATATATATATATATATATGTGTGTGTGTGTGTGTGTGTGTGTGTGTGTGAGAGAGAAAACGAGAAAACAAACAAAATCCTTCTGCTATCGAGTTGTCGGGTCTGATGAGGTAATTTAATTTATTTACCCTCTTAGCCTCAAATGTCCACAGGTAATTTCTTTACTTACAGTTTTGTCTTTTATTTTGAATTGAAGAAGGCGAACCCAACAGACGTCACGTCGGTGAAACACGTCGTTTAAATGCTTTAAAAGTTCGACGGCCGACATGAGCCCAATCGAACATTCATGCGACATGATCTATTCGCCAGCAACAAGATCTTGCATCTACAAACTCCAGAAGGCAACTGTGAGCAGATATCGTAACGGCATGGCTCAACATTTTTTCATAGGTCTTCCGAGAACGTGTTGAATCAATGTTACGTCGGGTTGCTACACTTTGCCGGCTGGAGAGGCTCTTGCACAATACGAGAACGTAAAACATACATATAAGTTGCTTAGAATAAAATAAAGTACAAGTTGCAATTGAAAAGTATGAGAAATTAGAACAGTGAATAAAGATTTATGCCACAACCATTTGTGAGAAATATACTTTGTAAGATCCCGTTTACATGAACGCGAAAACTATTTTGAAAGAAATGGCAATATACAGGGTACGATGGGTAAATTGCAGCCATTTTATATTTCGCGCATGTGCGTTATTTGTTTTTTATTTTGTCGATTGCACAATATAGTAGGGTCAGTTGGGCACCGTCTGTGAGAAAAAGAACATCCTGTTGCAATTTACGACCCCCAAGATTTTTGAAAAGGCATGCTGTACTGCTTGACATTCAAGCCGGAAGCTACAATACGAACATTTCAGAGTGTTTGGGTGTCAATCTGAGGAAGGTGCAGAGTATTCGGAAAGAGTTGGATGAGTCTAATGTTGATTACGAAGGCTTTTGGAGTGATCACTAATGATAACAACGTTATGCCTTCATTCATCTTTCCCCAGAGCCTCAAACTCTACACAGAGGTCTACATCAAGTGCCTTCAAGGGCCTTAGTACTTCCCTGGGTCAAGAAGGTGGTTGATGGATGACCCTATGTTTAGCAACAAGACTCTACACCATGCCACAAAAGCAGGAGAACCCAGTCATGGCTGACAGACAATTTCTGCGACCATATCATTCCTTACATCTGGCCACCTAACTCCCCAGACTGTAACCCGCTTAATTATTATGTGTGGGTCGCAGTTGAGCGAAACACCAACAAAACTCCTTGTAAATAAAGATGAACTGAAGGCAAGGATTATGGCAGCACTCAACAACTTAACCAAGGAAACCGTCCAGAAGAGTTGCCGTAGGTACCGAAGTCGTTTGGGGGTCGTGGTTTAAGCCACTGGTGATCTCATTGAATAATTTTACTTTTTAGTATTTTAAGATGTTTTTGTGTAATTTTGGTAAATATAGTGATTTCCCAGGCGTAGCTCAGATGTGGCACAAGGCCGAAAGTAGGGGGCACCCAGTGATAATTTTGGTAAATATATCTGTTAAAATGAGATGTCAGATTTTTACGTCATTTAGACCAACGTTTCTCAACGTGGGCATTATGGCTCCTTGGGATCTATGAGATATTTTCAGGGGCCACAAGGCTTAGTTTGAAAAATGGGGGGCTACGAGGGAGTACTTAAATTTAGGAACCATGATATATATATATGTGGAGCATTTTGTAATTAATAATTATTATTTAAAATAAAATATTAAATTTATTATTAAGTTAAATATTAAATTAATCTAAGCCATTTTGTTAACATACATATTTATTTATTGTAATTTTTTTCATCTGATCTATGCAAAATGGCTGTTTTTAGTTTTCAGTTTCTTAAGATTTATAAACACATAATTTAAAATTTAAATTAAGGTATGTTTTTACCAACTTGTCTATCAATTTTGAAAAGCTGAATGCCCTGAACAAAGATCTCCAAGGAAATGACTCCACCTTGTTTTCCTGCAAGGAGGCAATTAACACATTTAACAAGAAACTGAAGCTGTTCTGGTTGAACCTTGAGAGACAGGAGTTTTCACAGTTTCCTTCCTTAGCAAATATATCCACCAAGCAGCTTGATAATGACCTAGCAGTGTATGTTGATCATTTGAAGCAGTTGCATAATGATATGAAAACTTGCTTTTCTGATCGACTCCAAATGACAGTGCCGCTCTGGTTTCTGGATCCCTTCATTGCTGATGCATCTGAAGTTGATTTCACCCTACAAGAAAGTTTCATTGAACTTCAAAATAACACAGCAGCTCAAGCGAGGTTCAGGCGGGGAGGATAACAGAAACTGTGGATGAATGAAGACATGCATAAGAATTACCCACTACTCTGGAAAGATGTGAAGTTGCTCCTATCCGCTTTTCCCTCATCTTATTTGGTTGAGTCTGGTTTCAGTCGGATGATGCATCTGCTGTCAAAGACTCGAAATCACATTGACGTAGGAAAAAAAAGAAGAAGCGATTGACCTCTCTCTCTCTCTCTCTCTCTCTCTCTCTCTCTCTGACGGCTTTCAAGCCAATCATTGACAATTTGGCAGTCCTGTACCAGTCACATGTATCCCATTGAAACCATACAAGATAGAGCTGATGGTACATGTATTTTTTTGTTTTGTAAATGAGTGAGATTATTAGAATAAAATATTTATCCAAATAGTATTATTCTTTGATTTACAACTGGAGTTAGTGCTTTGACGCCATAGTACTATCCAAACTACAACCTTTGGGGGGTAGAGGGGGGATAAGAACTCAAATTGGCCTTATGGGCCATAAAGAACTTGCTTTGGATTGAATTTGGGCCATGACCAGAATAAGGTTGAGAAACATTGATTTAGACGACAATTGATCCATCGCACCCTGTAGAGATTTACTTTACCTCTACCCCCAACCACTGAGTCAGGTTGTGGCACAAGATCATTTTTTAACGTGGGGACCCGAGTGAAAACACTCGAGCCGCTGGTCCAAGCTGATCTTAGCTGCTCATAGTTTGTCCAAGCTGGTCAAGGCTAGTCTAAGATAGTCAGAGCTGGTCATCGCTTGTCCAAGCTGGTTAGAGCCAGTCCAAGTTAGTCATAGCTGTGTTACTACCAGTGCAGGGATGGATCCCTACACCGGGTAAGTATCAATCCATCGTAAGCTATATGTTAAAAAAAATAATTTCACGGTCAAAATTCCCACACTTTAGTGCAGCACTTTGTGTAGAAAAAGAAAAAAAATGAAAAGAATAGAAGAAAACAATTAATTTGTAAAAAGGAAAAACAAATTTTATTGTACAGAAATACAGTTAATATGAGATAATGTAATGAGAATTTTATATATATATATATATATATATAAAGTGAAGAACATTGGTTTGTAAAACATCGTAATATTTTTTATAATTTAGCGATAGGTGGTCAGATTATGTTTCTTTTATTAAACTGAAGATTTTTAAGATATTTAAGATATTTAAAACTATTTTTAAGAATTTGTCAGCAGTTGCGTTAACTACCCATGAGTTTATCTTTCATATTTTATGTCTTTTCGACAAGCTTAACCCTACACATATTAAAAATTTCAGCGACCTTGAGCAAAAACTAAAAGACATATAAATGAGAGATAAACCTGCCTCGTCAAGATTTAAAATCCCTATGAATAAATACAAGTTAACAAATGTTTCAATCTCCCCCAAAATAAACTCTAGTACAATTAAAGACTAACCTTTTCTTACCAATAGATAAAATTATGCATATATATATATATATATATATATATATATATATATATATATATATATATATGCTATATGTCTACATTTCTGAGATGAGGTATTATGTACACTATTTACATTATTCGGACTATTAAACATGGCACGTTAAAATAGAACAGTCTGCTCCAGTGAGCGAAATAAAGGGTTTAGTTCGATATTCCAACCACGTGAAGAAGACCGGAGCGTACAACGGCCGAAACGTTGTAATAAATATGGCGACAAAGATGAGGACAATAGTCCGAATAATGTAAATAGTATATATATATATATATATATATATATATATATATATATATATATATATATATATATATATATATATATATATATATATATATATATTAGTACTTATATATATATATATATATATATATATATATATATATATATATATATATATATATATATATATATATATATATATATATATATATATATATATATATATATATATATATATATATATATATATAAAAACAGGGGCACTTTATTATTATCTTATCTCGAAAGGTCGAGATAGCGAAGGTGGCTGCGATAAAATGACATTTTCCAAACGCGAAGTATCGAACAACGGAAACCGAGTAAAGGCAACCAGTCTAAGAGAAGGAAAACTCCGAATGGAGAAGTTAACGGAAAACCGCTCCACTTTCTGTCACGAAGCATGCGTGGCATTTGACAAATAATAAAAAAAGTGGAATCTGTGGAGAGTCATGACCTCCTACCTTACCTAAAAAGATATGGCTTTAAAAAAAAAAGTTATTTTAGACAAATGATGCAGCCCAGCCCATCATAGACTAAGGCCAAGAAGACAAATTTAGTTTTCTGTTTAGTTCTCCGTTGCCACAAAATGTACGTAGGAGTGACCACCCGCGACACCCCATGGGGCGTATTGGGTGATTATATTAAACGTTATTATTAACTGTTATTTTCATTCCTCTTATATATTAATATATATATATATATACACACTAAAGTTACACACATAATGGTTAATTTTCCTTATTACAAATAAATAATAATATATAAATATGAATACAGCATAATGTAAGTGTAATTAAATATATGTATAATGTCATATGATTTTAAGACATTTTTTATGTTTATACATTCTTTTATATAGATACAAATATTTAAGTAAATGCTCTGTTTATAACAAACAATATCAACAACATTTACCAGCCTGAATGTCTGAGAAATTGTCATAGAAAATATGCGTCCTCTGACAGAAATCGAACCTGTAAACTATACGGAACCGTCATATAGTCGGATGTGCTTTTATCGATTTCGCCACAGAGGAGTGTTTCGGTTAGCGGGGGTCGATTTTACTGTTTCTAAACTACAATTTTCCATCATTTTCTCACGTCATGTATAGGATACAGGTTCGATTCCTGTCAGAGGACGCATATTTTCTATGACAATTTCTCGGATATTCAGGCAGTTAAATGTTGTTGATGTTGTTTATTATAAACAGAGAATTTACTTAAATATTTGTATCTATAAAAAAGAATGTATAAACATAAAATGTCTTAAAATAATTGTCGGACTTTGTCCATTTCATAATGTGTGATATCATTTTATATCATAATTTCATAAAAGTTCGTTAGTCGTATTTAAAGTATCTTCGTTGCGAAGGCCAATTTTTACCGCCCAGAGATAATTTTTGGTTCATGGATCTTTTCCCTAATAGTATCTTCTTCAGAATGGATATGTTTCCATCTCGTTTATTCTTTTCTCTCTCGTTGCCGCTTGATTTACCATTTTCGCTGCTGTCTTGGCTCTCCCAGATTATGTCGTTATTTTGTTTGTAATCCATTCTTAAGTCGCCACGTAATTTATTCTTGTCCTTCTCCATCTCCTCACTTGTATTTATTTCCGAGCAGCTGCATTCTTTTGCATTGAAAACAGTACCTCTAGGACAAGCCCGTAAAACATATCCCCTGCCGTTGACGAATTGAAAAAACATATCTTTCTTCTCGCTAGGTTTCAGCTGACAACGGATATCTTTTGAGATGGACTCTCTGCTCTCTTCACTGAGTTCTTTAACGGCCTGCTCGCTACTGGGCGTCGTAGATATACTTTCTCTTTGTCGAATGTAGACCATGCAACTGCAATGTCTTGTGTTAAAAACAGTTCCTGGGGGACAGGCTCGTTTCACCCAGCCTTGTCCTAAGATATTCTGCATATAGAAATTGTTATCATAATCAGGCCTTTTGTCGCAATTTTCTGTGCTACTGCTAAAATTACTGTCGTCATCAGAAGCCGGATCTTGTTTCCCAAGTAGCACGCAACCACAGTGCTTTGCGCTGAATTCAGTGCCCTTGGAACAGTAACGTCTAACCCAACGCTGGCCGCTGATTATCTGGTAGTAAAACTGACTGTTCCATCCAGCTATTTTTGAGCACATTAATCGGTTCGATTTTATGCTGTTTTCGACGTCTTTGCTGTTTGGGCCTTCCCAATCGCGGTCTGTTATGCATGCGCATGCCTCTACACAGAAAGAAGTTCCTTTGGGACAAGACTTTTTCACCCTTATGCCGCTTTCGGTCAGTTGAGTGTAAGAACGTCTGCCTAGACTTGCTTTCTTGTTGCAAGTATCAGTTTTAAAAAGTTCCTTCGTTTGTTGCTCGTTGCTGTTGCGCTCTGTGGAGTGGGATTCGTCGTCGACATTCAGAGACATGACACACTCGCATCGGTACTCACTGAATTCGGTACCAAGTGGGCAGGAGCGGATAATCCACCCCTGACCTTCAATCAACTCGCGGTAAGTTTTACTGTTCACTCCATTTTTCTTGCTGCACTCGGCGCGTTCCGACAAATCGCTGCTTCCGTCTTTTTCCTCACTGCCGGTACTGTGCAAATCTTCTGTCACCCAAGTGCAGCCACAGGTCTGAGCACAGAATTCAGTGCCCACGGGACAGACTCGTCTCACCCAGGTTCTTTTATCGTTTCTTTGCAAGTAGACCATTCTGTTTTTGGTTGGCTTCTTCGGGCATAACTTTGAGTCATTGTCTGCATCGATTTCGCTTTCAGTTTCCCCGCTTTTGCTGCTACTTCCGCTGCTGCTACGGCTGCTGCTACCGCTGCTACTTTCGTTGCTGCTACCGCTGCTACTTTCGCTGCTGCTACCGCTGCTATTTTCACTACTGCTACCGTTGCTACTTTCGCTGCTGGTTTCGCTACTGCTACTGCTGCTACTTCCGCTGCTACTTCCGCTGCTGCTACCGCTGCTACTTTCGCTGCTGCTACCGCTGCTACTTTCGCTGCTGCTACCGCTGCTACTTTCACTGATGCTACCGCTGCTACTTTCGCTGCTGCTACCGCTGCTACTTTCACTGCTGCTACCGCTGCTACTTTCGCTGCTGCTACCGCTGCTACTTTCGCTGCTGCCACCGCTGCTACTTTCACTGCTGCTACCGTTGCTACTTTCGCTGCTGGTTTCATTACTGCTACCGCTGCTACTGCTGCTACCTCCGCTGCTGCTACCGCTGCTACTTTGGCTGCTTTTACCGCTGCTACCACTGCTACTTTGGCTGCTTTTACCGCTGCTACTTTCGCTGCTGTTACCGTTGCTACTTCCACTACTGTTTTCACAGCTGCTACCGCTGCTACTTTCACTGCTGCTACTGCTGCTACTTTCGATGCTGCTACCGTTGCTGTAAACGCTGCTACTCTTGCTGCTGCTACCGCTGATTTTACTGCTGCTGCTATCGTATTCATATTTCCGCTGAACCAGAGTGGAACACATACAATCGCTGACACTGAACGTAGTCCCTGGGGGGCAGTTTCGCTTCACCCAACCCAGACCATTGATGAATTCTTTATATGACGATTCACTCGGGCCAGGCTTTTGATGGCAAATAGACTCATGTCGGTCACCAATGTCTTCTTTACTTTCACTTCGACTACTGTCTGCATTGCCCTGTCCAATCTCTTCACCCCCTTCGTTGCTCTCTTCTTCAGCGGTTAAAATAGAACAAGCGCATTCGGCTGTGCTGAAAGCCGTACCTTTGGGGCACAACCTCCTTATCCAGCCAAGGTACTCCACATATTCCTTATAGGAGTATATATCTTCAGAGGCTTTAAAATCACAACGTTTGGCTGGTTCGATTGTTTCGCTTTCCTCTTCTACTTCGTTGCTCTCACGACAAGGCTTCAGAGAAACGCACCGACATTCGGTTTCACTGAATAAAGTGTCCCCGGGGCATTCCCTTGTCACCCACCCTTTCCCATCGACAATCTCTAGGTAGACGTTACTGTTCTCACCGGGTTTTAACGGACAGATTTCTTTATTGGCCTGAGGACGGTTGTCATGTTGTTCGCAGCTGGTAGCGTCTAAGTTCTCGGGTTGATGATAAACAGCTGCGTGAAGTTGCGAGATTATCGCCAAGAGGAGACATATTTTGGTGCCTGGGTGAGGTAAAAACATCTTGTCTCTTATTTACTGGTTCTTTTCTTTTCTATAAACTTAGAACAAGTGAAGCGAAAATATCGGTAAACGTTACCAAGAAAGAGAAGAGACGGGAATGATATGCAAAAGCGTTGCAACGAGTCTTTATATATAACCTATACGAAACAAACCGGAAGACATCTTTAATTCTGAGACAAGTATTTGTTAATTTCCTTTCCCCTAACTCATTTTAAATTTTTTGGTACGGGTGGAGAAGTCGTCGTGAGAATGATTGACGTGTTTACACCATGGTAGAAGTCATAATTGAGCTTCCAGTTGTCAGGTTGAGAAAGCCGGCGTTAATAATCGTTCATAATGATGGAATGTTAAAATATTATACAGAGGTGACGGTAATGTGGTTGCGAGATTTACCGTAATTCTGATTATTTTTAACCACATCGCTGTAGACCATGGTCAACACGAGAATGGTTCAAGTACACATCAGGAAAAGTACTTTTCAACCTCTGGTTTTCGTTCCTTATTGGTGGCAAATAAAATAAATCATTTTTTCTTTTTTATCGCTTTCTATAAAAGGCAGGATGTGTGTGTGTGTGTGTGTGTGTGTGTGTGTGTGTGTGTAACGAATGCACTGCCGCTATTTTCGACGGATTTGCACCAAAATTTACATGCACATGCTCCAAGTTAGCGGGAATGCCAAGACCGACATTGCATTTCCCAACTCCTATCGATAGTGGAAATAATGGATTTTTCCATGCTTCTACGGCAGTTTTCATGTAGTTTGCGGCCATTTTCTACTGGCCAGAGTGAGAGCCTATAGCTGGCTGCCACGAATAGGCAGGAAGATTCTATGGGCCAGCGTGAGAGCCAACAGCTGACTGACATGAATGTTAACTAGCATGCTAGCAAAAAAAAAAAATCGATAGCTGCATTCGTCACAAGTGGGAAAATTTAAATCTGCATGGCACTTTACTTCAATTGGCTCATTCACTTGCTTAAACTCAACGTTGATTCTGATTCTGCAGAACTGGGTTGGGTGTGAAAAAGTATTTGTTGTTAACATTCTTTTTCATTCGGTTTTCCAGTTACGAGTCCTTTTTTAAAGCTGATAGTTTTGTGTTCATTTTGTTTAGTTCTTTTCGTAATAGATTTAATGTTTAGTATAGAGCTTCGAAAAAATTCGCAGTGTGAGATAGGCAAGAAGTAAGGCATGTAGCAACATCAGCACGGCAAAGGACACTCCTTTAAAGGCAAGGAAGGTCAAAAATATTTTAAGTCAAGTGATAGCGATTGCTGTATGAGTCGTACGATTTTTGATTCATGCACGGGCAACGCCGGGCTGCTAGTTATATTTATAAACGAGGTGCGTGATATGAACGAAAAAGGAGAATTTAAGACCATGAGCCTAAGAAGGATAGATAACGCTTGGCCACTGACTTGAATAGGTTAAGAATTTAGCGTTCAGAGAAGCACTCACGCAGGAGCATTTTCTACAAAGTAGAGCGTCTTGTGATGATGATATTCACTAATCTCTCCACGCGGTCAGATGTTGCACAAGGCCGAACATAATGTGGGGGTGAACTGAGCCCGTTGGTTCGGGCAAAAATTCCCTGTAGACCCTGTACACACGGGGTCGGGTAGCTGTCTACAATTCCCAGGTCAAGCTGTAATTGAAGATATTTATCAAAATTTACGATCATCACGATTCTCAAAGCAAACGGAAATACCTATTTTGTGCCTACTGCGCAGACTCATTAACCTGTTTTTGTTCGATAAAATGTGCAAACTACCGGATCTGTATGTCGTTTTACATAAAAAATGGTTTTAAACATAGAATAATATTATCCTAATTTAGTTTTATAATTCTTATTCTATTTACATTTGTAAGTATAGGTACATATGATTGTATTTGACATTCTTATGGGGTCGCAATCGCCGAATGTTAGTGTCAAATTGTCGTCTGTTTGTGGTGAGTAGTCATTTCGCAACTGAAATCGACCTATGAAACGGCAATTTTTAAAAGAGTTTTTTGTAGCTGTGCATAATACGCACCCCTAATTTTGCATATTATTTTTTAGAAAAAAATGCGTATTATACATGGGGAATTACAGTATGTTTCAACGGGATTTGGCCGTAAGACACTTTGTATAAATGACACCTGACACCATTTATATTTAAATATTTTCAAAGGCACCAATCCATTTAATTCAATTCATATTATTATTATTATTATTATTATTATTATTATTATTATTATTTTAAATTAATATAAAATACCCATAAAAATAAAGGGATTATATCCATATGGATTGGCACTATTTTTCGAATCAGTATATATACTGGCATTTTTTAACTAAACTACGTAAAATAATTATATATATATATATATATATATATATATATATATATATATATAAATTTCTTTTGAATAATTTCACCCCAAGCAAGGCAATAAAGTCACTAAGACTGAAGGGGAGTTTACTGAGTGTGAGAGGATATGAGATAAAGAAAAACATTATTAAGAGGAGTGAACGATAAAAGAACATGAATTAAGAGGACAGAAGATAATAATTGATATTGCATTAAAATATTTGAAGATCAAAGTTGACTGGTTCAACAAACTAGAAGTGCGAGAGAAGAAACTATTAGCATAGAACTTACGGTTGCATATTGCCACCATTTCAACTTTTAAATTATGAAATCTTGCCGCCAATCTATTAATTGCTTTTAAATTCATAAAGTCTAGGAACCAGAGAAGAAAGTTCATCAGAACAATTACGATGAAAGTATTTACAGAAAAGGCACAGAGAAACTACGTTACGACGGGTGGAAAGAAACTGAAGCCTGATCAGGACCAAAATATATTTTTTGCTATTTTATCGTGAATTACACCCTTGTGTAAATTAATTGAAACAATCGCTTTCTCTATACTGTCAGTTTTAGACCCACTGGGGTGACAGGATGTAATCGATTTCTATTTTTTTATCAGATTAGGTCATTTTCAGTGGCGTGCAGTAACATGAATCAATTTTCGGGGTATATGATGAAATTTGTTTGGCCTTGAAAAATATTGCGTCATCCGTGATTGCATCAGATTTTTATCACGTCCCGACACTATTGTCTTGATTGTCGATAAGCTGTCCTACAGCCATTGTCTGCGATGGACGTTATTTCAAAGTAGCTTACGAAAATTGTAACCCTGCAAGCCTTAACAGTGAGCAAATAGAAGTACTATAGACTGGCCCGGAAACTCTCCTGATTTAAATCCAATCAAGAATCTGTGGTTAATCTGCAAGGAAAGACTTTGTGGAATGGACATACGAAGTACTAACATGTGCACTGGGTCATGTTTCATTGGAAAATACAATAAAAGTAAATAACGGAATTATTCTTTTTGTTTCAATTAATTTGCACAAGGGTGTACATCAAACCAAATGTGACAGCAATATTCAATTTCTGGACTTATAAATGTGCAAGATAGATTATGTCGAGAAAAATTGTCTAGCACGATGCAGTGAACCAATTTTTACGTAGCATCAGACCTAGCAAATGATTCAATATAACCTTTCCACTTCATGTCAGCGGGAAACGTTACTCCTTGATGGTACAATGAGCCACTCTCCTGAAGGGTAGCATCAACTATACTTATAAAATGCAAAGAGAGTCCTCTCAAACGATTAAAAGAGAGTAGTTTCGTTTTAGGGGTGTTAAAATGAACAAGCCATTCTTTGTCCTAGTTAACAACAGATTCTAGGTCTTTTTTACATCATACCTTTATTTTAATTTTTTTCTTTGGTTGATTTGTTTTATACGGTTTATCAACCCACTGGGGGTTATTTATATTTATTTATAAGAAAATATTTTTGGGAGTGTGAGAATTTTTTTTATTTAAATAATAATAATTTAGTAATATTTAGTTAATTAACTCATTGCTGGAGAGAGAAGAGACGGGTTCATACCTTTCCTTAGGTTATTTGTGAATATAACGAAACCGACTGTAATTGGAACTCAGTTCTCCGATTAAAAATTCTGAGCCATTGTCTATTACACCACCCGCGCTTACAGCATTTTTATTTTAAGAAATTATGATCGTTTAGCAGTATGCTTTTATAAGTTGTTGCATTTTTGTAGATTTCGTATAACAGAATATACACTGCTTTAATGAGCTTGAAGCTGGAAAAAAGGTTATGAAAAACTATTGGGCTAAAAAATCATTTGACATGATAAAGTCATGTAAATTTCAAAGTAAGAATTATGTAATTTTATTAATATGAGTGTATGATACCTTGGCAAGTCATTGTTGAAAAAAAACATGAGCTTGCTTTCTTTCACTAAAGACGAGGCTAAAAAATGTCTGCTGAAACAAAGATGAAGGGTGTGACTTTAAAGGGGAAGATAACTCACTGAGAGATAACCAGGCTACTGGGAATTCTCTGAAACAGTGTTCAAACCATTCAAAATATGTTTGCTACCACCGGAAGTATTTTAAGTGCTAAGAAAACCGGAAGACCACAGGAGAGATGAAAGAAAGATTGTGAGAGTCTCTATAGGCAATCGTAAATTAACAGCCAGACGAGTGAGGATTCAATGCATTGTTAACAATGATGTTTCTGTTGATACAGGGCAAAGCGTATGACGAAAGAACAACTGATCGGGCGCATAGCAGAAAGAAAAACACATCATTAACTAAATATATTGAAAGGGTCAAAGGAACATCTAAAATGGAAAGTGGCAAAGAGTAATTTTTGGTGATGAATGAAAAATAGAGTTACATTCTAATACAACGCAATATGCCAAAAAAAAAAAAAAAAAAAGAATCAATGAAACAACAAAAGATACTCCCCACACACACACGAAGACGGCAAAATTTCGTGAAAGATACGTAATGGTGTGGGCTCGCTACAAAAGCGATTATAGAAGAATATTGGTAGAAGTTGATAGATGCCTAAACAGTGAAACCTATACTAGTTTACTACGGTCAAATCTTCTGCCATACTATGAAGATGGGGAGCTTTTTTTAGCATGACGGTGGTAAGTGTCATATATGTGCAACACAAGTGTGTCCTTAACTTTTGGAAGACTGGCCAGGACTAATTCCCGATCAAAATTGCTTTCCAAGCGTTTGTCGTTCAAGATGAAGTTTTTTCCACTTTATATAGAAGGCCCGGGTGCCACTCGAGGTAGAGGATTACGTTAAGGGGCAGTTTATATGGATAGGAGGGGAAGATAACGGTTAAGTATAGATTTGAGCTTGTTAAGTTTGTAGTAATCAGTGAAACATTCTCTTGGGAGTCTGTTCAACAGAACTGTGGTTCGCGGGAAGAAGCTGTTCCAGTGGAACTTACTTCTCACCGATGGAACACGGGGGCGGGGATGTGGATGGTTTTCTACAATGTAAGTGTTATACCAGAACATTACCTATTCTATTGTAATAGACTTTCCCACAGATAATAAGTAGTATTAGCAGTGGTCAGTCGACTCAGTGGAGTTGAGTGAGTCAGTCGATGTCGGACATTGGAGTATCAACCATCACAACTAGATTGCTGCGTCAATAACTTTTATTTCAAGTTCCTAACGTTTTGTACGTCGAACCTAATATAGTACGACTTAGTTGAAAATACAAGCCTCCACTGTGAAAACTACTCTACAACAGTAAGTGGCAGGGTGGGTCCTAGCCATGAAGATTGCACCTGGAGGAACCAAGGAATGTAGCTCGTCCGAGCACTTTCCATGGAAATAGCGATAGAGCAGTGAGATGCTCGCCACATCCCGCCTGAGAGAGAAAGAGAAAGAGAGAGAGAGAGAGAAAGAGAGAGAGAGAAAGAGAGAGAGAAAGAGAGAAAGAGAGAGAGAGAAAGAGAGAGAGAGAGAGAAAGAGAGAGAGAAAGAGAGAGAGAGAGAGAAAGAAAAAGAGAGAGAGAGAGAAAGAGAGAGAGAGAAAGAGAGAAAGAGAGAGAGAGAGAGAGAGAGAGAAAGAAAGAGAGAGAGAGGCTGGAGAGTGGAAAATATCCGAATTTTCGAGATGAGCAATTGTTAATGGTTCTTAATTTTATATTATTATCATACTTCTTGCATTTTAGTTTCCTGATTTTTTTTCTCCGAATTTCTGGGATGAGAAATTATTACTCACATTATTTAAATTCGGAATAATGTCACGGAGGGATTTAGCGCAATATTTCAGGACAATGGTCTATTACAGTGCTTCTAAAACTATCTGATGTAGCATACTGGCAGTTATTTCTTTTTCAATGTGCAAGAGACAAGGTGAGCGAAGCTTACAAATCCAGTTCGGGGGTCCTCTGTCACCACATTTCTTTTATTAGATATATCCTAATTCAGGGTCATTTTGAGACTGTACTAAACATATGTGTTATTCATTCTAAGACCTGTCAACATTGACATATGAAGCCTTTTCATTGTACAAGGGACCGGCACCATATTTGTGCCAAATGATTCTATTATAACGATCCGAGAAAATATTTAAACATTCGTAGTATTATTCATTTATGCCAGAAAAATATAATAAAAACTTGCATCATTTTTTTTTTAATTTTATATTGATTTTGTAGGAATATATGTCTATAAAAATGACCTTTTGATATTCTTAAGTGTGTTTCCCACATAGTCACACGAGACATCATCATGACGGTGTTGTCATACGCATTTCAGTTCACTGTTTTGCTGTTTATTATTGTCGCATTCATAAATTGAATAGCAATGACTTTAAACATGAATGTAATAGAAAAATGTAACCATAATAAATGTAAAACTAAAACAAAAAGTGTAACCATAATAAATTTAAAATTAAAACGAAAAATGTAACCATAATAAATGTAAAACTAAAACAAAAAGTGTAACCATAATAAATTTAAAATTAAAAAAAATGTAACAAAAAATGTAAAACCAAAAAAGTAATAAAAATTTAAAATTAAAATGAAAAATGTAACTAAAACAAAACAAAAGTGTAACCATAATAAATTTAAAATTAAAACGAAAAATGTAACCATAATAAATGTAAAACTAAAACAAAAAGTGTAACCATAATAAATTTAAAATTAAAACAAAAAATGTAACCATAATAAATGTAAAACTAAAACAAAAAGTGTAACCATAATAAATTTAAAATTAAAACGAAAAATGTAACCATAATAAATGTAAAACTAAAACAAAAAGTGTAACCATAATAAATTTAAAATTAAAACGAAAAATGTAACCATAATAAATATAAAACTAAAACAAAAATAATAAATTTAAAATTAAAACTAAAACAAAAGTGTAACCATAATAAATTTAAAATTAAAATTTAAACGAAAAAAAATAAATGTAAAACTAAAACAAAAAAATATAAAAAAATTAAAACGAAAAATGAAACGAAAAAAAAATATAATCATAATATACCTATACGCGAACCACACTTTGAGTAGCACTAGTCTAGTGGATAAAAACGTTGATTCGTAAATTATTCCGCATAGGAACTAAGAGTTCAATCCCTGGGCCAGGTAGCAAAGACTTTGTGGAAGCGAGACTTTTCAAACGCAGCAAAAATGATCCAGTTTCGAAAAGAACGATCACAGCCGAAGAAAAACGGATAGATTACAACAATGTTGAACGAAAAGGTTTTCGGGGAACCGAATTGCATCCAAATTAATTGTTGCTGTTTTTTCTGGTGGGATTGCGATCACCTTCCTCAAAGTTAGACGTAGAATTCAGACACGTCTTCTTTTATATGCCGTATCCTTTCAGGATGTAGGCGATCATGGCCCTCCACATCTTCCTGTCCCTTGTAACTCTTAATAAGTCTTGTCTTTTTGTTATTTCTCCCAAACCCCGTTCTGCCACCCATTTGCTCAAGCTCATCAAGCAGCTTTCCTTTGTCCTTCTTTCCCTCTATCTGCCCTGTGAGTATCAGATTTTCCAAGTCCCCCTTCCTCATTATGTGCCCAGGAAATTTCATCTGTCTCTTCCTGATGTTAAGTATAAATTTCTTGTTTGTTTTCATTCTCTCCAAAACCTCGTCGTCGCTCACATGTTCGGTCAATGGTATCCTCAGCATCCTTCTGTAGAACCATACTCTTTTCTTTGTTTCTAACGAAATTTTCCTGTCTCTTAATACTCTGCTTAGCTTTTGGAAGGCATTCTCAAATGAATTGATTAAAGGCAGAGCTCGCATGTCTTTGAAGACCCGGCAAATTTGTTACAATTGGCTGGGATCGCTTACTATAATGACCTTCAACGCTTAACCTTTCACCTCCGGATTGCCACTTATTTCGTTCCCTACTGAATTTATATCTGTGTGTGTGTGTGTGTGTGTGTGTGTGTGTGTGTGTGTGTGTGTGTGCAACGGTCGACCAGGGTATTTCTGGGAAATAACTTTTTTAAGGCAAGCAGTCTTTGTATTTATAGTGACCGATATCATATATTAATAATAAATAGCAATAAATATAATTCACTTATCTTGTACCTACTGTGGGTTTAATGATAACTGATATCCATTAGACATGGAACAGTCTACTTCAGTGATCGAAATAAAGGGTTCAGTTCGACATTTCAACCACCTGAAGAAGGCCGGAGCGTACAACGGCCGAAACGTTGTGATAAATATGGCAACAAAGGTGAGGATGATAGTCCGAACATGTAAATAGTGTAAATAATACCACATATCAGAAATATACACAGATTTTATACTTTTCCTAAAACAAAGTAAACATAATTTGTTTTCCTTTTACGCTACTAATTGTTTATTACCTCTATTGTTTATTTAGCATTTTTTTACAACAATTATCAAAATAAACTTAATTTGAAATACATTTTGGCAAGAGTTAAAAATTTCTTATTGTTATTGTCAGTTATATATATATATATATATATATATATATATATATATATATTGAACAATAAAAAAATATTAAAAAATTAAAATCTTTAGACACACTGGGTTGTAGATTAATATTCTTTCGTTTTTTTAACTATTATTTCATTTAGATTCCTCGACTAGTTTCGACCAAAATGGCCCTCATCGGGAGGAGAAATATTTCTGCTTGCTGGTAGCAGTAAACTACAGAAATCATGGCGAAATCCCTTCGCTAACAATTTTTTTTGTAATATAAATTGAACTGCACCACATATTTTATATATATATATATATATATATATATATATGCATGTATACATATTTACAGCGTGTAACAACAAAATTGTCCATATCGTGTAACAGCAAAATTGTTCAAATGTTAGATTAAGCTTTGAACCGTTGTTTCTTAGAAATGATTAAAGATATCTTACTGGAATTCTCTGACGTTTTTATTACACTATTGTATTCTACTTTGAGCAATAAGAATGTATAATTACTCTCTAAGCTTAACAGAAGAATCGTGATGAAATCGATTATAAACGAAAATGACATGTTCATCATTAATTAATCATAGCTAAGGATCAGAAGCTCATGAAGGATTGAAATAGTTCAAATATATATATATATATATATATATATATATATATATATATATATATTTATTCCAGGACCATTTTTCCATTTATGCAAGATTATCTTCAGCCTTTCTTACCTTCTAATTTTCTGTCCTGAAGTAACAAGGTAACTTACACCTTTCATGTACAATTTCATTTTCAAGTCTTTTTTTCACTGCTCTTTGAACTGTCATAGCTGAAACTCCTCTCTCACGGGCTAAACGTGTTATGGATTGAGTTGGATCTTTTCTAATTGATCTCCTTAGCTCTAAGTTGAAATGAAGATCCCTCTTCCTGATGTGACCGCCTGATCAAGTTATGCTCTCTACCGTTCTCTCTTTTTTAAACTTATTTACCGTCTTCTTGATGGTTCTTTGAAGATGTAAACCAGAGTATGAATGTTGGTACTATTACTGAAGGCCTGTATGATTTTTTTCCTCTCGTCACTGCTCAGTAAAGAAGACATTGGGGCTGAAAGAAAACGATTTTTACCTGTTCTCTTTCTAGCTGAATAACAGTGTTTTTCAGTGATTCTTACCACAAATGGTATCAAGATTGCTAAGCGACTTATCTGAAAACCCGGAAATCTTTTATATCATTTGATATACATATATATATATATATATTCCAGAAATCCGTGTTCATGTGCAGTTACATAAATTTAAACATCACATCCGATTATGTCCTGAAGGACGCAATACGTCAAAAGAAAACTTTTTACACTTTGTCATTAATTTTACTTAATGTCCGAGAAAATATGAATCCTCCTACACGGAACCGCCATATAGCCTGAGGTGCTATACCATTTAGCTACAGAGGAAGCGTCTGGTTAGTAAGAAATCATGGGAGTTTGTAGCTTAAAAACAGTAATTTAACCTAGTAATTATAACTTCTTAAATAGACCTCGCCTAACTTTCTCTTTCCGGAAAATATTTTTAGCGAATTAAAACAAATATTGATTAAAAGTAATCTTTCAGCTATATTATCAATAATCAAATAAAATTATTTCCACAGATATTATAAGGCGTCAATACTAAAAATGTATCACAAAAAAAAAACATTAATATCTTTTACTCTAATCAGATGTACGCAAATTTTAAACAAGATGGATTCGCCATTCGACGCATCACAAAACAATGCATTTCATCTGTTGATCTGAGAAAACGTTAAAAACCTTCAATATACTAGAGAATATTGAAAACTGCCAACGTCATAATTGCAAATAATAACATGTCTATGAAATCCACACGTCAAACCATTAATATAGTTTAAGAATTTCGTTGGTGGTTCTTGTAAAAAGATACATCGACCAGACGACAATGTCATTAACTCGTAGACTGAGATACCATTTAAGTTATCTGAGTTCTATAAAGAAGCACTTAAACACTCACATAAAACTACCTGCTCCCATAAAAATAATCCTTGTACATATCGCTGTCATTCTAATAACTTCTAATTGTAAAAGACGTTTAAAGATAATTGAGGCATTTTATAAAAATCGGTTTAAGCTCAATCACAATCTTACATTTTTTTTAAACCAGAAAGTATAAGATGGCGGTGTTGAAATGAACCCCAACATGCAATTACTATACTGCTCCTATCCAGCACGCATTATTACATCTACATAATATAGCATACCACATAAACAACAGAAAAATATACGAACAACGAATCCCTTGAATATAGTTAATGAATTGGCTGAAAGCGCTTAGGGCGATAATCACGGTGAATATCTTCTAAAATCTCTTAGTGCCCATTAAAAAAAAACTGCTAGGAAATGATAAAAACTGAATAAAAACCGTAAAATTTTTCTTATCCGTTATAGTCAATGAAACATATCAGATTGCTGCTCAAATATATATATATATATATATATATATATATATATATATATATATATATATATACCTTTTTTTTTCCCTCTCCTTTCTCCTTCTCGCTCCTCTCTCTTCTCCCCCTCTCTCTCTTCCCCAATATATATATATATATATATATATATATATATATATATATATATAGAGAGAGAGAGAGAGCGTATTTTCAACCAAGCATGTTGGTTAAATAATTTAGACGTATTATGTCTATTCATTTTAGTTTTAATCCTTTCAAGTCCACAAACGAATTTCTTGGTTGCTGTAGAAAATTGATGAAGAAAAATTCCAAAATTTTCTTTCAAATAATTTTATTTTCCCAAGTACTTTCAGATTCATCTGCGACCATCTTCACTGGTTTCATATCTATGGATGTGCTATGCGTCAACACCGTAAATTCAAAATATTTTCCCACTGCTATGCAAGGGAGGTAACTTATGTAATTTTTTGAAAGATTTTTTAATGCAGTATTTTTAATTTAGTATTTTATATAACACTTTGCTGCTACCAACATTTAAAAACTTTGTTGCTATACTTGTAGTTGACTTCATTTTTGGCGGCAATTCTATTATATAAAGAATTTAAAGTTTTTACTTATTATTATCTTGATGAAGCGCTGAGGTATTTTCGACTAATATCTGTATAATCTATGAATGTTGACATGAGTATCCCTTTAAATGTTCTGAGATTGTACTAAGATCGTTCCAGTGAAACGTAAGCCTAATATATATATATATATATATATATATATATTTGAATATTTGAATAAAAAACAGACCACGTTAAGATTCCATGTAATAGGCTATTTCACCATAACCCCTTTAACAGGGTTCTGGATCATCAGACTTTACTTCCAAAAGCTGAAATGAAAAATGAAAAGAAATTCACACGTTTTTGACGGACCTCATCAAGTATACGTAAAATTAACGAAGTGAGGAAGTGAGGTGGGAGAGAGGATATGAGTGTGTCATATGTATCATTTCAATTTCCTATTTTTAACCCCAGTGTGTCGGCTAGATGTTGCTCAAATTTAACGCGTCTCGTCTCTAGATATAGATGGCTAATGGTTGAATGATAAGAACGACATTAAAGGAAGAAGTTACAACAACCCCAATCAATTTCACGACAGGTTTCATTCAAATTCTTAGACGCTGTTAATTCGCGTTACTTTAACGTGCATATTTGGGAGGTTAAGTGCATTTCGTTTTTCTGGTTGAAAAAAGTAGTTGTTTTCGCCAACGATAGATCTCTGACGAAAGATTCCTGAGATATTTACCCTTTTTTAGCATTAAGATGCTAGGATTAATAGCACATTTAAGATGCTAGGATTAATAGCACATTTATATATATATATATTCGTGGGATTTCACTGAAAACGAATATCAGTGTCTATCGAGTAGTCATTCTCACCACACTTCCTTATGTGTCAGAATCGTGGACGTCATACAGGACGCACATCAATCAACTTGATGCTTTTCAGGAACACTGTCTTCGTTAATATGCGGTTATACATAGCAGGGGAAAATCTCTAACCCTGATTATTTCATCAAAAGTGTCATTGGTGGCATCAAATCCTTTCTGATGCAATCACAATTCACATAGGCTGGTCATGTCATCAGAATGAGTGATGATCGGATACCGAAAATCCTCATGTATAGCCAACCTTTTCATGGTAAACGTAATGTAGGCCGTCTTTGGTTACAATTCAAGGACAAACTCAAATACAATTTAAATGCTGCAAACATTCTTATAGATGAGTTCGAACTTGCTGTTGAAAACCGAGAAAACTGGAGAAATACCTGCTACCGAAAAGAATAGTCTCAACCATCTGAGAGAATTAAGAATCAATATTAAATCCCAGGCCAATACATCAGTTCATATGACGGTCAACCCTTCAGAATGTCCCTCGTGTGCACTTGTTTGCAAATCCTGTGTAGGATTATTCTCTCATAAGAGCCATAAATATAAAAACTGAGCTGAAAGACACTCATACGTCGAAAACGACAGGAAAGTCCATGATATATATATATATATATGAATTTGGATACAAATCAAATGTGGACCGGAATTCGACAGAATGATAAGATAAAGAATAAATAGAAAACTTTTATCAATTTAAAATGTTTCACTTTCATTAAAGCTTCACCATAGAATAAATATATGGAGAATAAAGGACTTTGAGTATTTTTATTTTTATGCTGTTTGATTTTAATTGGTTAATCATGCTTCACGTGCATTTTACTTGTTAATCAGCGTTAGTATAATTTTTGGCGTTTCAAACAAAAAGCCGAAATAACCAATGAAATTCAAACAGCACAAAAGTAAAAATACCAGAAATTCTTTTTTTATTTCTCCATGTCTCAGAGAGTCTTCCAAAACTTTTGCCTGTAGTATATATATATATATATATATATATATATATATATATATATATATATATAAATTTAATTAGAAAACAGACAATCTTAAGGGTTAATTGATTATATTTTATTTCCCCAGGAAGGTGGTTTTCCTGGTTCCTCAGGTTACATTTCCAAGCATAATACATATATACATACATACATATATATATATATATATATATATATATATATATATATATATATATATATATATATATATGGATACCATTACAACAAAAGTCTGATTCATGCAATCTTCAGAACCTCTTTTATATTTACATACGATCAATCTTTCATATTGATCATTTTTGCCTATAAATATAGCATACATTAAAACTATATTTTTCATATATATATATATATATATATATATATATATATATATATATATATATATATATTCTGTTTATACGTTATTTTTATACATACAATTTAAGTAAATGCTCTGGTATTTTTTAATTATATTTACCCGTCTGAATGTTCGAGAAATTTCATAGAAAATATGCGTTCGCTGACAGAAATCGAACCTGTATTCCTATACCAAAACCATCATTTGATCTGACGTGCTATACCATTTAGCTACAGAGATACGTCTGCTTAGCAAAACCAAAATTATTGTTTTTAATCACACAATCTTTGACGATTTTTCTCGATCGATCATATCTGCTCACGAAACAGTTCTTAACGTTAACAATGACAACATATAGTACGTTATTTTTATAGGTACAATTTATTTAAGTAAATGCTCTGTCATTTAATTAAACAGTATTAATTACATTTACTCCTATCCGAAACCATCCGTCAAAAATAAACAAAACGAAATCAATATTACGACTCCAAACTCTTTTCTTACAAATACAAAATTAAAAAAAAATTACGGGGATTGTGTGTGTTATTGTTATGGAGTTTAACCTGTCCAGTACGACACCTATTTCTGGCAGGAAGAACCGCGTGACAGACAACCGAAAACATGGTTTACAGTGGTCCTTCTCTCGAGAGCTAGTAGTTCGAAAGCGCCCAGGATTACTTTTGCTTACGTCTTTTCTCATTATTAACATTGGCTTAGTCATTCGAATGTTACTGGATAATTTTTTTCGTCTGTTGAGAGCACTCCTGAAAAGGTTTGCGGTGAAAAGTTTCTCCAATTTGTTCGCTGCACTTGTCAAGACAGTCACTCCTTCTCTTAACCAGGAAAGGAAATTAAAGACAGGCATAGGAGTGGTGGGGTCAAGTGCAGGATTAACTTGCAATAATTTTGTTAGGGTAGAGTTAGAGGGCTGACCGTGTGATATTATCTATTAGATTTCAACTAATATCAGTTAATACATATTCTCTTTCATTTAACCTTGTGCCAGACTTTACTTAATAAATACTGGAAACCTTGCATTTGTTGGTAATCCACTGCTGTTACTCAGATCAAGTCCCAAGTGCCAGTATTTGGAAATACTATTTTTTTAAAAACTTAATCTTAGTTTGAAAGACTGGTGCAGTACGATCTTCCCAGAGATGTCAGTGTTTGTGTAAAAGAGTGATAGGCTAAGTGCGGTTTCTGTTGGTGGTGTGCACTTCTCTGTCCGTCAAGAAGCACAAAAGATCGCTTATCGTGCGTCTTTGCACTTCCGTTGACAGAAGCCATGAAAAAATGTTTAGAACTTTTATTTATGTGTGACTTTTTGATTTAAAAATAAAATGTATCTCTATCTGGTGCCAAGATTGTTGTAATGGATAGATAGCAGACATGTTCTGCTAATGAGAAACGGAGAAGCAAACAAAAAGAACAGATCGAAAAAGAAAAGAAGCAGGAAGAGAGGAAAAGAGAAAGATTTAGGACGAGAAACTCAGAGAAGGAAAAAGGTGAACGAAGGAGAAAAGAGAGAAATGAAAGATTTCCTTCTTCCACGCCGAAAAAGGAATAATGGTGGATAATAAAAAAGGAAAGAGAAGTATAGTAAAAAGTATATATATATATATATATATATATATATATATATATGAAGAAATATTTGTCTATATTTCTGAGATGAGGTATTATGTACACTATTCACATTATTCGGACTATTATCCTCATCTTTGTCGCCATATTTATTACAACGTTTCGGCCGTTGTAGGCTCCGCCCTTCTTCAGGTAGTTGAAATGTCGAACTGAACCCTTTATTTCGCTCACTGGGGTAGACTGTTCTAGTTCCACGTGCCATGTCTAATGGATGTCGGTTATCAGTTATCTCTTGTTAATTCCCCTCTCCAAGTTTTCCACTGCCTTAACCGGGTATTGAACTCACACTCTTTGGGTCTTGTCACATTCCAACTACCTGAAGAAGGCCGGAGCGTATATATCAGCTCATTAGAGAGAAAGTGCGAATTTGTAAACAGTGACTATTACTGCTGCTAATGCAAGACTCTTCTAAATGAATTGACTTCTCTCGGCCATTGGAGTGATTGTTTAAAAATAAATACGATAAAATTCAGCTTCCTCTCTACCGTGCGCCAGTAGTTTAAACCAGCCTGGTTTCGATCCCGGCTTGAAGCAATCGGATGTCTAGTCATACTGATGAGCTGTGATACAGCGAAACAGTCTGTCTGTGGATGATGATGATGATATATATATATATATCATAAGTAAAGCCTGTCGCCTCTGAGTATTGACTTCAATGTTCACTTTTATATTTATATTTACATACGCTCTAACTCTGATACTAAGCACTTTATCCCATAAATATGGCACACCTTAAAACTATATTTCTTCATGTGTGTGTGTGTGTGTGAGAGAGAGAGTATAAATCTCAGATTTTTTTCTTGTGTTTTTTACAGCGAAATTAACGTCGACTGGCCTAGATCATCGAAAATCTTATTAAGGGAAGTGTAAATCTCGGCAGGGATTGAACCTGCATTCCATGTATCTAGGAAATCATTCCAACTTAACTATGAATTGATTCCTAGAGTATAAGATAATTTTTGGAGGAACAGTTTACCTATTTTGAGAAGGAGGAAGTCTTACCTGCATGTCAGACAGGAAAATGTATGTAAAGACACTCATGTAAACATGACTGCTCCCCTTCCTTGTTACCTTACAAAGATATGCATTACCAGGTTGGACAATAATGTTTTTGTATACACACAGCCCCCCCACACTCACAGAAACACATCAAACAGTACAGTCTGCAATTTCTAAATTTCTGGCGGAGTGAATAGTGTCATGGTGCTCTTTTTCTCAACTGACCCTACTATACTGTACAGTCAACAAAAGAAAAATAACAAACAACTAAAACATTTAAATTGGCGATATTTTACACGTATCTCCTTTTATACACAAAGACATATAAGTGTGTATGCATATATATATATATATATATATATATATATATATACATACACACACACACACATATATGTATATATATGCGTGTCATTAACAGACAGTGATGTTTCGTTGTATCACAGCTTCTCAGTGCGACTAAACATCTGAACGCCTCAAGCCAGGATTAAAACCCAACCGACTTAGTGTCAGTCAGAGTTTCTACCACTGAGCTATCTTCATTCAACTGAATGAGGCACCTAAAGCTAGCGTATTGTTTTCACGAGTGTAAACAAATGCCAATCAGCCGGAGGACTCTATTCATTTTACTGAAGAGCTTTGCATTAGCGCAGATGGCTCTTGTTTATAGAATTGCTGGATGTAACAACAAAATTGTCCAAATCGTGTAACAGCAAAATTGTTAGATTAAGCGCTGAACAGTTGCATCTTAGAAATGATTAAACATAGAATTTTAATAGAATTCTCCGAGGTTTTTATAACACTATTGGACTCCACTTTGAGCAATAAGAATGTATAATTATTCCCCAAGCTTAACAGAAGAATCGTGATGAAATCGATCATAAACGAAAATAATATGTTCGTCATTAATTAATCATAGCTAAGGATCGGAAGCTCATGAAAGATTGAAATAAAATGAAATAAAAAATATAATATAAATATATATATATATATATATATATATATATATATATATATATATATATATATATCAGGATCATTTTCCAACTTAATCAGACGCTAGGCACGAAACAGGGATCAAGGTGGGTGGTAGGGTAATCTTAAAGGGGAAAAACACAGACTATTAACCTTATGACGACAAATTGGGGGTATTAGAAGAAAACTTAAATTTTTAGCTTAAATTTAAAATTAAAGAAAAAATTAAAAACGGACACAAAAATAAATTTTAAAATATATATGTATAAAGAGACGTAAGGGATTAATTGAAGGAAAGTTAGGGGGGTATCCTAAGTAGATTAAAGTTTATCAATTATAATTAATCTAGTATAAAAGGTTTTAGAGGTGGAGCGGAGTGACTTAGATTAGCTAAATAATGCAAAATTGCACTATGGGAATTAGAATTAGTTTTTGGTTTATTATGTCGACATTTGAAGAGTTAGAGGAGATGGGAGACGGGCAGTGATTCTGGGTAGCTAATTAAGGCAAACTAATCTTATCTAAATCTTATTTCAGTTATCTGTTTGGATTGGAATTGTTTTTATGCCCATCGTCTTTTTCATGTTGAATTGTATATGGTCTATGTTAATTATGTTTTATGAATATGTCCTGAAGATGGTCTATTAGACTGAAACGTCCGACGTTGACATTAAACATTAAAACAGCATAATCGCATATTAGGATTTTTGTTTGTTTTTTCAGTATATTTTTATTCATATATATATATATATATATATATATATATATATATATGTGTGTGTGTGTGTGTATTATGACATATTATTGTATATTATGAAATGTTTTTTTCTTTATGTGCCGTGTCCTTTCAGGACATAAGCGATAATGGCCCTCCACTTCTTCCTATCCCTTGTAGCTCTCAATAATTTCGTCCCGCTACCACCTCCTCCAGACTACATTCTGTCATCTACTTGCTTAAGCCCGCCAGGTATGTCATGCGTTGCTTTCCCTTGTTTCTCTTTCCCGCTATTCGACCTGTGAGTATCAGATTCCCCAAGCCTTCTTTTCTCATTATGTGTTCTAGAAATTTAATCTGCTTCTTCTCGATGTTAAGTATAAGCTTCCTCCTTGTTTGCATCCTCTCCAAAACCTCATCGTTGCTCACATGTTCGGTCCATGATATCCTTAGCATCCTTCTGTAGAACCATATCTACGTTGCCTCGAGTCCATCTTTGTGGAGACCGTCCAACATTCGCTGTTGTAAAGGACACACGCCACGTGGTAGTTCAGTACTCTTTTCTTTGTTACCAAAGAAATCCTCCTGTCTCTTAATACTCTGCCTAGCTTTTGGAATGCGTCTTTGGCCATACCAATACGTCTACGGATCTCAGTGTCGCACTTATCGTCTTCTGTCAAAAAACTTCCCAGATATTTAAACTTTGGCATCTGCTTGATTTTATTATCACCGACCTGCAAATCGCATGGTCACTGATGACCCTGCATTCTGTCTTCTTGTAGTTTATGCTTAGTCCCTTCTTCTTGCTCTCCTTCGCTACCTTCTGTAGGAGGTTTTATAATTTCTTTTCCGTTTCTGCTATCAGTACAGTGTCATCTGCGTATTTTATGTTGCTAAGATTGTAGCCGCTAATGCTGAATCCCGGTAGGATTTCCAATTCTCTCAGAATTACCTCGCTTTATAAGCTGACGCTCGAAAAAGTGGTTTTTGGAACATTAAACTCAGATTTATCGAAGTTTGTTGTGAGCAAAATTCTAGCAAAATACTCAGACCTTCGTGTTCTGACCATCATTCTCTTGGTTTACATCATTTAAAATATCATCTAAAATATTATTCACTTTTTGGAGGCGTTTAAAGAACTCACTTATGCAATTTTGATATTCTTCATATGCTGAGGCATCTCCTTGTACCAACCTTTTACAACGAAAAAAAAAACAATATGAATAATAAAGGTAGTAATATAATGGGATGTCTCATACAATTCACTCTGAGGATGTCCATGTTTTAAGTCAATTTTGCTAAATACCTTACTGTACTTTTCAAGTAACTCAGCGAGTGTGGGTAAAGAGTAGTGATTTCTTTTTATGGCAGTGTTAGCTTTTTCGCATATCAACGACTAATCTGGCATCATTGTTCTTTGGTACTTCTATTAATGGCGACCCCCACGAGGTGGGTTCTGTAACTGATTCAGTGATGTCTAAGTCAAGCGATTCTTTCAACTTATTTTCAACTTTTTTTTCCGAACATGGAAA